GAGAGGAAGAGAGAACGCAGAGAGCGAGGGCAGAAGTTTTCGGTCAGCAATCAATGGCCAATAGCTCCACAATAGATATGCTTTTATATGGAGGGCACTTTGGTCATTTCACGTCCCCAAGTGATTGTATCAAAACACAATTTGTAGGCTGATCATTTCAGCACACTGTTTCTGAAACCTGATTACACCAGCTTATTTCCCTTAAATATATTACCACCCAAACGAACCCTAATGGAATAATACTTATTTTCCTTAAATATATTACCACCCAAACGAACCCTAATGGAATAATTGACAATTGAAGCCTTTTTTGAAATGTTATATTATTGTTTTAGTTAAACAGATTTTGAATATAAATTGACAAACTATATTTTATCAAAATTGGCAGTGCAATATGCACTAATGTCTACACCACCTTCAGGCCAAAAGAAAACGTCTACTCCCGCAAACCCCTGCTCTAATATTCTTCACGGTAGAATCTCAGGCCTTAAACTCATCAAAATTTATTTTCCCAATTGAAGTGCCAAGTAAATTTACGAGGCACCAAACCAATATAATAATAAAAATAAATACAAGACAACGGATCTGCTTCCCTCTCACATTCTTTCTTCTGTTGTTTGCTCTACGGACATTTACAACGTACACTCTTCAATGGGGCGCTTGTAGCTTAGGCTTTGTTTCTTGGTGCTTTGAGGCTCTCCCCAAATTTCTGGTAGTATTGCATTTGCTGTTCCACCATATGGAAAAAGCAATGGAAAATGGAAATTTAAAATTTGTGTTACGGAGCAAAAGAATAAGAAAAGAGAAAAAAGAGAAGGAATTGTCTGTTGAGAGGTGTTGGGCATATGAAAATCAAATCCATACCTTGTCTGTTACAGATGGTGCAATTTTAGCCAATGCTTGCTCAAAGTGAGTGTCTTTGATAGTCCATGGAGATGCATCTGAACTCCTCTCAGGTGATGTCAGTTTCTCTTCAAGAGCAGCCATAGCAGCTTCATTCATCTGCATGGATCAATACGTTAGAGAGAATCCCAATCACCTTTCTTCTTCCCCCACCAATCAAACAAAGGTACGGGCAAACAGAGAGGAAGGAAAAATCAACTCTAAAATCAAATATTAAACTACATATTACAAAGCAAAAGAAAGTTTATATAATTAAGAATATAGACAAACCAGTGCAGCAAGATCAGCTCCACTAAAATTTTCACAAGTTCCCCTTTGTCCAATCTCACTCAGATCTACGCTGGCATCTATAGGCTTCTTCCTCGCAAGAGC